ACACAAGCACAAACAAGATCATTGGTTCCTAAACTATGGTCGAAACCACTGAAGATATGAACATCTTTAAAGCCACTCCCCCCGCGGCCCTATTTGTGTATGTGCGTAGGGGGGGGGGGGATAGACCCAAGCATGTCGTAAGGGCGACTAATTAGGGGTATGTCCATATCAAACGTGTTGAACCGACAGACGCCGATATCACAGCCTAAATACAACGAAAGTGTCAACAAGAGCGATGAAGAGAAGGATGATGATTTGGAAACTGTCCTTGCAGCAATACTATGTGGGCGAGTGAGAGACTGAGTGAGCAGCTGACTGACTGAATGAGTCGGTTAGTCAGTGCGGAAGGAAACTGTCAATGCATCAACGCTGTGTGTTGGTGTGTTCGTGTATGTGTCTTATCTGTACAGCTGGCAGTAAAATTAGTAGCATTAGTAAGTTTTTCCCCACCAGGACATCACACTGAGCTATAAACATCCGATGACACAAAGTGCCACCATGCGGATAAGGATCACTGATGGAGAGGTCCCGTAACTCCGTTCAACCGTTAGGTTATGTAAGGGCCTCAGGCAAGAGCCAAGGTAGGGCTTCAAGATAACGAAACATTGCATTCCACAGGGGGACGATAAAATTCAAATTATGCAATAAAAAGCTAGCTTGTTCTACAGAATGTCCTAAAGAACCGCTAGAAGTGGCTGTTGTCTCTCTTGCATTTACTGTTGTGGGTACTGTTGTATGTAATGTTGTGTGTACTGTTGTATGTAATGTTGTGTGCACTGTTGTATGTAATGTTATGTGTACTGTTGTATGTAATGTTATGTGTACTGTTGTATGTAATGTTGTGTGTACTGTTGTATGTAATGTTGTGTGTACTGTTGTATGTAATGTTGTGTGTACTGTTGTATGTAATGTTGTGAGTACTGTTGTATGTAATGTTGTGGGTACTGTTGTATGTAATGTTGTGTGTACTGTTGTATGTAATGTTGTGGGTACTGTTGTATGTAATGTTGTGTGTACTGTTGTATGTAATGTTATGTGTACTGTTGTATGTAATGTTGTGTGTACTGTTGTATGTAATGTTGTGGGAACTGTTGTAAGTAATGTTGTGTGTACTGTTGTATGTAATGTTGTGTGTACTGTTGTATGTAATGTTGTGGGTACTGTTGTATGTAATGTTGTGTGTACTGTTGTATGTAATGTTGTGGGTACTGTTGTATGTAATGTTGTGTGTACTTTTGTTTGTAATGTTGTGGGTACTTGTGTATTTTAGTCGTATATGCATTGTGTTATATGATGCGACCCACCACCATTTCTGAATGTGTTTATGAAAGTATTATTTATTTACGCACAATTAGCTCCGGGTCAAATGTCACAAGTTCAGAAGCACTGTTCTGGGTTCTGGCCGCGTAGGCAGACACGAGTTACAGATTGTGACCTGCACGCAGTTAGAAACCTGGATAGAGAATGATAGAACTGGTGCTGCACCTCTACCTGTGGGTAGCACGCCGGCACCACCCTGGTGCCAGACTGTTGTTCTGTCGAGAAGGCAGCGCGGCCAACATTAAGCCCAGTCCTGGCCGAGATACCTCATTGTCTGATCCATGTAGGTGTGGTTAGTTGCATGTCGGTAGGCCTGCCGTGTTTAGCTATCTCACAGGATTATGAGAATCACGGATCAGGTCAATGTAGTCCCATCCATCTTGTGAGAGCCATCCGGGTATTGATCTCTTTGCCTTTCTCTGCAACTCTTCCTCAATCATGCTAGTTCTCGAGCTCATTTCTTCTCATCACATGTCAACACGCACACGCACGCACACACACACACACACCGAGTCGCCATGCCAAATTGTCCTGACAATTTACGACTTTAACCTGTCACTACAAGGGCTGCTTCGATTGATCTCTACCCCCCCCCCCCCCCACACCACCTTTTCCCATCCATGATATATATATATATATCCTTTGCATTGTTCTCTTAACCACATCTCTGCCGCGAGTAAAAGTTATCAGCTGGTCTGTTTATTGTCCATGTTTCACACGCATACAATAACACAGGATCTACATAACACTTTAACATTCCCTTTCTCACTGCAACTGACAACTTCTTATCGGTCAGTATCTTTTACATAATCCTAAATGCCATATTTGCCATGATGCTTTGTGTTCTAATTTTTTCACCTCCTCTTCTCACCAGGTGACCGAACCATTTCAATCTGAGTTTCTCAAACGATTTGGAACATCTCTTTAAACGTTTTCAGTGTTCTCTGGTTAATCTCCTAGTCTGACACTGTAAACCTAAAGTTGGATCAAAGAATGCATTGAACAAATAAAAAACTAGATCTCTTCCACACACTGGGTCGTACTGGGTAGATGATGCTACACCCACACTGTCTACATAAGTCTAGAATAATCGATGCTTGGCGGCTGATGTGATCAATATCAACCTGTTCGCCTTTACTTTCCAGAATATCTCCGTCCACTCGTTTTAGGCTAGATCCTTCTGTGAACATTTCGGTTACAATAAAATCAAATAAAAATCAAATAACTAAATGGGCATTTGATTACGTAGCCACAAGGCCAACAGACCAGCACGCTAGCGCCCCCAGGGTGATGGAATCTGTAGGGGGGGGGGGAGGATTAGGCCTCTTAAGGCCCGCGCCCCTCAACACCTGTAAGAAGGTTGAGCGCCCCCTGGGTGATGGAATCTGGAGGGGGGGGGGGGAAGGATTAGGCCTCTTGAGGCCCGCGCCCCTCAACACCTGTAAGAAAGCTGAGCGCCCGCTAACCATAGAAGGTCTCTAGGCATTTTTGAAATACGTTTTATGTGATTTGAGAAAACATACTGTAATATTACTGTGCAAGCTAGGACACTACTAATGTTGTTATTACGCATGTAAACAAGGTCTATTAGTGTTTGAGAGTGCTAGATTCAATCTGGTCCACTTCATACGCACACATACACAATTAAATAGCAGAGTTGAATAACTGGCACACAAACTGTAACACTAGCCACAACTGTAACACTGGCCACAACTGTAACACTAGCCACAACCGTAACAATATCTAGACTATAACAAATGCCAGAGTCGTCACGTAGATAAAGTGCACACATAACTTCACATACACGCGCGCGTGCACACACACACACACACACACACACACACACACACAAGACGTGTCGTTCTTGTGGTTCCAGTTTGTGCTTTGCCTATCAAGCGATTCACTTGAAGTGCCCTTGAACTCAAGTCTCAGGTCATAAACTTGAACGTCTCATAGTTACCGTGTGTAACATGATAGTAGTGCTTAACTGAGGCCATGTGACCGCGTCGACCTTCCATTAACGAGCGGTCTACTTAGACATCGTGAGACAAATGCATCATAATCAATTGCCGGAGTTGGGATCTTGTTGAATTCTGTGTCTGCTGCATTGATTCCTTTAATTTTATGTTTACCAGCTTCTGCCGGGTCAAAGGTCGCGAGTTCAAATCCGCATGAAATCTGATTTGTTTTAGGATTCGTTTCCAGACATGACTTTGGTTTCTCTATCGACCCAATCTAACATGGGTACTGAGCAAGGACCTAGGAGGTAAAGGCAGCCAGCGACATTGTCTATACACATATGAGGTACTTCAAATATAATTCAACCCAAGCAAACAAGGTAGCTATATGTAGGGTTAAAGGTATAGTTTAACACGGGTTAGGGTTAAAAACAGTTTAACACGGGTTAGGGTTACAGGTATAGTTTAACACGGGTTAGGGTTAAAGGCATAGTTTAACACGGGTTAGGGTTACAGGTATAGTTTAACACGGGTTACGATTACAGATATAGTTTAACACGGGTTAGGGTTATGGTTAGGGTTGTAGTTATAGGCTAGGTATATTTTAACACGGGTTAGGGTTATGGTTATATGTGGGTTAGGTATAGTTAAACACAGGTTAGGGTTACGGTTATATGTAAGTTAGGTATAGTTAAACACGGGTTAGGGTTGCGGTTATATGGAAGGTTAGGAGTAGTTTAAGACGGGTTAGGGTTATAGTTATATGTAGGTTATGCATAGTTTAACACGGGTTAGGTTTACAGTTATATGGAAGGCTAGGTATAGTTTAACACGGGTTAGGGTTACGGTTATATCTAGGTTAGGTATAGTTAAACGCTGGTTAGGGTTAGGGTTATAGTTATATGTATATTAGGTATAGTTTAACCCTTTTAGCACGGGAAGTTTTTCAGATGTCTAGCCAAAAACACGGAGCATTTTTTCAGTGAATTTGGTTGTTACTTTATTTAATTTTTTTGACACATTTCTGTTATTCTGACCCAGATTGAAATAATATATATATTTGAAGGATATCGATTGAAGTTCATGATTTTCAAAATATCGTTAAAATTAATTAATGTATATGCAAATTATCTCATTTGCATATCTAAAATTAGAAAATTTGAATTTGAATTTTCAACTTCAATGCATGAAACATAAAACTAAAAACAAAATTTTTTTAAATTTGAAATCTCTTTATTGATCTTTGGCCTTTTTGCAAGTGTTGTAAGCAATTCAATAGTCAAAAACAGGTATATATATATATATATATATATATATATATATATATATATATATATATATATATATATATATATAAAACAGCAATAATATCTTTAGGTGACATGTGTTTTTCACTATCAGTCAGCACAAGAAATGGATGTGCCGGAGTGTCAACACCTTTGGGTGGATATACCCTGCGCCATGGTTGGACTGTCTTTTGAACACAACAGCGTCCCCATCTGATTCCCCACTATTACTACTAACACTAAATCCTGCATCAGTATCAACAGAATTAGTGTAATCACTTGATTCAAATGTTTTATCAACATCAAGTTTAGGGGCAGAAACATACGAGTCAGACATACTTTTAGCGGTTCAGGTAAAGTTAATACATCACTGAATATAAATGAATCACTTTCAGTGTTTCAAAGTAGGAGATTTCTTAGCGGTTCGAGGCGAAGCACGGCCGGGCCGATGATCGGCCGTTCCGTGTTTTTGGCCAGACATCCGCCGGCCGATAATCGGCCCGTCCGTGCTAAGAGTTACGGGTTAGGGTTACGGTTATACGCAGGCTAGGTATATGTAAGAGGCTGGAAAAGACTGCAGTTCAGCAGCCGGAAGATCTTGGATTTATTCTGGTTTAAAAATGACCAACACGCCACAGACAGCAAGACGGAGAAAATCCGGCTACTGGGTATAAATAGGAAAAACTAATTCAGTATTGCTCAATTTTGGCTTCCGGGCCGACCCTGTGGAGACCTAGCCAGCAGGTACGGCGACCGCAGGGAAAGGCCGTGGTCAGACTGATTTCGCAGGCGGTGGTACGTTTCTTTGGTTAAGTGGTGGTAGATTTGATGATTAGCATTTTAGATTCTGGTCGAGCACGTTGTTGTTAATGTTATTCGTGGACCACGCTGATGTTAAGTTAAGTAAAATAAACAGCTGTTTAATGTGATCATAATTCATTTGCTTGATTTAATTTAAGATCTGTAGTCCGTGGTTCGTCTAGGCGTATCTACCCATGTAGTCAGGTCGAACTCATGTAACTCACTATACAGACATCCATAGTTAGGGTCTCAGTGAAATATTCTAGGATCTCTGCGCAGAAGAATCCCTGTCTTTTCTTTACTTTCCTGTTTTTGTTGTTTAGCGGGGAACTGTTACTTTTGTTCTAATCACAATTTTCTCCTTTTATCTCTCTCTGTTTTTCCTCCCTTCTTTCTTCCCGCTCGCATATATAGTTAAACACGGGTTAGGGTTACGGTTATATGAAAGGCTAGGTATAGTTTACCACGGGTTTGGGTTACAGATGGCAATGGGGGAATAGAATGAGAGCCCAATGTGACATGTAAGGGCACAACAAAAGGAATGAATATAGAAGCGTTATGCACACCGAAGAGCCTTAGAAGAGCTGCAGGAGTTTCAAGGAAATATAGAATACGAAATCAGACGAATGCTAGAATAAAGCCAGTCTTACAGTTTATCAAAGAACAACAAATTAAGTGTTTTGGACATCTAGCAAAAATGCCCGGGTACTATCTTCCACAACGAGCAAGGGGTTCTTATGATCGACTTTTCAGTTTTAAAAGTTCCCAATGTGTCCCCTGACCAGCGTATGTGTTTTATTGTACACTCTAGCCGCCCAATAAGGAAGTTCTGGGGGGGGGGGGGCGTGTTTTATTGTACACTCTAGCCGCCCTATAAGGCAGTTCTGGGGCGAGTTTTATTGTACACTCTAGCCGCCCTATAAGGCAGTTCTGGGGGGGGGCGTGTTTTATTGTACACTCTAGCCGCCCTATAAGGCAGTTCTGGGGGCGTGTTTTATTGTACACTCTAGCCGCCCTATAAGGCAGTTCTGGGGGGGGGGGCGTGTTTTATTGTACACTCTAGCCGCCCAATAAGGCAGTTCTGGGGGGGGGGGGCAGTTCGGGGGGCGTGTTTTATTGTACTCTCTAGCCACCCGATAAGGCAGTTCTGGGGCGAGTTTTATTGTACACTCTAGCCGCCCTATAAGGCAGTTCTGGGGGCGTGTTTTATTGTACACTCTAGCCGCCCTATAAGGCAGTTCTGGGGGCGTGTTTTATTGTACACTCTAGCCGCCCTATAAGGCAGTTCTGGGGGCGTGTTTTATTGTACACTCTAGCCGCCCTATAAGGCAGTTCTGGGGGCGTGTTTTATTGTACACTCTAGCCGCCCTATAAGGCAGTTCTAGGGCGTGTTTTTTTTTGTACACTCTAGCCGCCCTATAAGGCAGTTCTGGGGCGTGTTTTATTGTACACTCTAGCCGCCCTATAAGGCAGTTCTGGGGCGTGTTTTATTGTACACTCTAGCCGCCCTAAAAGGCAGTTCTGGGGCGTGTTTTATTGTACACTCTAGCCGCCCTATAAGGCAGTTCTGGGGGCGTGTTTTATTGTACACTCTAGCCGCCCTATAAGGCAGTTCTGGGTACGGGTGGGGGCATCGATATTTTGTCAGTGCTTAGGGCACAAAACAGTTTAAACAAATCCGTCCCTGTGTGCAAGTAAGACTTTCGTGGCCCCACTACAACTCAGACTGTACGTGAGAGATGAATGAGACTGACAGGTTCCGTTTATCCCCCACCCCTCTTTTCTGGGAATCCACAAGAATGGAATCGCCTGAAAATGTACAAGACAAGCGCGCCCAAGGTCGCCCACTTGTTTACGTTTGTGTGTTGCTAGTTTACCGAACCCGGATGTGGCCAGGGTGGAGAAACAAAAAATGAAACAAAAACCAAAACGCACATTACGATCTTTGCCTGTTTGTGTCACGAGCTTTATTGCAATTATGTTTACATTCTTCACCCTGCAATCGTTGCATTCACACAACACACACCTAGACACACACACACACACACACACACACACACACACACACACACATGATGTGGTTTCGTTTCAGGTACCTCACAAAACCACTGGAATGCAAACACGAGCTCTCCCATCCCCCATCTCTCTCTCTCTCTCTCTCTCTCTCTCTCTCTCTCTCTCTCTCTCTCTCTCGGTTTTTCTCTTTCATCTTATCTCTCTGTTTATCAAAGGTACAATACCCACTCAGACAGACATTCACACACACGTATATTGCCGTCTCTGTCGCACGCTTACGCACACCCCCCCCCCCAACCAACTACGCCCTCCTCACCATCTAGAAAAAAAAATGGGTGGTGCTAAGTGCCCCTTATAACCCCCTCCCATTTTAAAAAGAACACTTTGGTGCAGCCCCCACCCCTCCCACCCCCGCCATCCTACTCAACAACCCCGCCACCCTACTCAACACCCTCCCCCCGCCACCGTACTCAACACCCCTTACACCCTACTCAACACCCCTCCCACCCCCCGCTACCCTACTCAACACCTGACAGATTTTCTAGACAAATAATTCGGTGCTGGCGCTTAGTTTCTTGGCCTTCCCCTCCCCCAATTTTGGAAACAGGCTGAAGATACCCCCTTTTAACGGGTAAATAAATGATCTAGTACGAGAGTTGCACCCTGGGAGAGAGTGAGACCTAAGAACGTTATATTTCCAACGACAAATGCACTAGTGGGTACAATGTGAGCAAACTTTACCCTGAAGGAGGCACACCATTTTTAACAAATACTTGAGAACTCAACTGCCCTGACCCCTGTGGACTGAGAACGAATGGAACCATATCTTGTATTGTCTGATATCTTCATCTGTCAGGCTGGCTATTTTAGCATCTCCCAACGGTTTCACAATTAATGATGTTTTCTTCTCAGCGACGGCCATCTCGTGCATGGCGGATATTTGAGCCCAGTTGACAGATTCGGGTGTGGTTCCAGCGATACCTACGTCGGGTGTCAGGACACATTTATCATTACTGCAGAAATAGAAGAGAGACAAATTGCCGTAATGTCGCCTTTTGTTGATTTTGCTACGATCTCTGTCAGCTGAGTTACAGAATGTCAACATGACAGGTTCTCACGTGCATATTCTGTCCAGGATATGCAGCAGTGTGATGACATGAAACAGTGGATTCTTTTTTTGGCCACAAAAGCGATAGCTACATGAACATTCGTACTGGAAAAGGCCTCATTCTGAAGATCATTTATCATTAAAAGCTGATTTTTTTTTTAACTGACCCAGAAACCATGAATTGTAAACTGTTTAGCTCGATAGCACGGATAAGGCAACATTTCGGCCTTGATTCCATGATATATACCGTAAATCTGGGAGAAATCTGGCTTCTCTGCCTACCCCCGAGCGCGAACTCGAAAAAAAAGTTTCACCGGTCGCCGTGCAGGCTTGTTTTAACCAACTTAGCTAGCGCGCCGGGATGAAAGCTGACAGAAGACACCAGATGAAATAGCATGTGTAGAAAAATGTAAACATGGAATCAGGTAGGGATCCGGCAAGGATGGGTGTATGAGTGCAAGCCAAAGTCCTGTATTCCTACAGTCAGTGAGCTACGGGACCAGTTAGCATCTACACTTAAGACATTTGCCGAGGGAGACAGAGTGTCTTCTGGTATGTACGGTGTGCTATGATGTGGATTCTTAAATCAGTAATGGTTTGAGTTCTCCAAGCGTCATTTTCACAGTGAAGGTTGGCAACATGATGGCGGCATGAATGCAATAGGATACTTACAATCTGTCTATCTGTTAACGGTATCCGCTTGCAACATAGGTTTTACCTCCTGCTTCAGTACTTTGATCTTCTCCGAGTACTTGACTTGACAGTTACTTAACTCGGTATGTCGGACGCCATTGCTATCCCTCTTCTCCTTCTTCGCATTCACCGGCTATAAACTCTGGCGGAAAGTTCTGGTTGTTCGTCCACTTCTGGACTTGAGGTTTGCTCCAGAATATGCGTTTCACGTGCACATCCGTCTGACAGATTTGGATTCTTTGGTTCCTCACCTCTTAGAAAAAAAGATAATTAATAAGTCGACCTTTACGACATGCTTGTAATGCGGACAGTGGGTCTACCCCCCCCCCCTTCCTCCTCCTCCTCCTCCTCCTCCTCCATGGTAGCCGAGATAATTGCAATATAAAGGAATTCAAATAACACAAATCCTGGATTGAACGAGTTATACAACAGCTTGGGTATCACGAGTTATACAACAGCTCGGGTATCACGAGTTATACAACAGCTCGGGTATCACGAGTTATACAACAGCTCGGGTATCACGAGTTATACAACAGCTCGGGTATCACGAGTTATACAACAGCTCGGGTATCACGAGTTATACAACAGCTCGGGTATCACGAGTTATACAACAGCTCGGGTATCACGAGTTATACAACAGCTCGGGTATCACGAGTTATACAACAGCTCGGGTATCACGAGTTAAAAAGATGAAGTATAAAGATCAGACATATCCTATGTATTATTACCAATAAACGCAGAATGCGTTGCTTGGTATTGAACGAGTTCAATGTGGTTATTAGAAGCATAAGGTGACGTGTATTGTGAAATGTGACGTA